TGTAGTGCATCTCTGTACCCCCAGGCCACCAGAGCACCCTGTGTCCATTATATACACTCATGAATCTTGGGGACCTTCCCTCACTTCACATTCTTCAGTGGTCTTCTCTTTAATGATAACTATCTCCCTTTATATGCATATAGTAGACTTGTTACTACTCATTGACCAAGCATTTCACATCCCTCAAAACACCTCTTAAACAATAAGCATTGTTCATTTTTCCATTCTTCCGAAATAATCACCAGTGGCCATCGTGCCATTTTGAACTCATGGTAACTCCACGTATCAGAGCACTGTGCCCCAGTGGTTTATATTTCAAAAGGATATCACCAGGGAATAGAATCTCTGTTAGAACCATACAGAAGAAAAACCATGTTTTTCAGCCTCTCTTGAAGATGTATGTGGCCAGAGAACCAAATCATGGGAAAGGGGATACTGGAAGTGACATATGAACTACTGTGAAGTACCCTCACAGAGACAGAGTGGGCGACCCTACTTCAAACTCATCAGTATTTGGACAGAACGACACCAGGGGGAGCAGCCCTTTGGGGATCATGGAGTCAAACACGCTGGAAGACAAAATAGACTGCCGGCATTCTGACAATCATACCAAACTAGACACTGCCCTTCTCAGATTTTTTTGAGAGAGAAATATCTTTTCTCTTGCTGAAGACACCAAAGGTTTGGGTTTTTTCCCCCACTTATATTCAAACCTAATTATAATGTATATACACTCAAATATTCCCTAATGGGTCTATCTTTCAGGTGTGATGATTATCACTCTTCTTAGTCCCCAGCCACTCATTCTATCTTACTTAGTTCTGCTGGGACCAAAAGGAAAAGAATGAATGCATTCCATAATATCTAAGAACACTCAATAATGAAGAAATGACATTTACTGCTTCAGGACAAGAAGGGTTAAAGAGATTACCAAGTCTTTTCTATTCCCTGGAGCTTTTGCTATTAAGAGACATGGTAGGTAAGATTTCCAAGTTAATTCTCAAGATAATTAGACAAAAGCTAGGCCAGATGTCTAAGCTAAGTTTTGTCTCAAAATAATTACCTTTGTTAATTACCAGTAATTAGTGTCACCATCCAAAACTTTCCTGAAAGTCCTGAGAGAGAGAGACTGGGATAGAGACAGAAAAGAGAATCTACACGTGCATGAGAGAAAGAGACAGAGAGACACAGATTCACATTACAAGTATTCTCCAGAACAAGAACACAAAAGCTACTAACACTTGATTCACGTGTGATTTTGAACCTAGGTTTTATGGAAGACTGGATCTTTTTCCCAGATGACATAGATATTGTGTATTTCCATGGACACATAAACTTTGTACAGAATTGTTTTATTATTTTCGATTTTTTTTTATTGCCAAAATGTTACTTTTTGTTTTTCAAAAAAATTATACCTGTAACAACAACAAAAGGCTGAAAATGATCCTGGAAGAAATGCTCATGGTTTTTCATGAGTTTTGCTGTCTCTCGCTCTCGTTCTGTCTCTCTCACTCTCACTCTTTTTCCGTTGCTGAAACTGAGGAGGACCTGAAGTGCTTGTTGCAGAAGGTCAAGGATTGTAGTCTTCAATATGAATTGAAGTTCAACATCAAAAAGACAAAGATTTTCACCTCACTGGGCCAATTGGCAGCACCATGAGATGGAGAAGGGATTGAGGTTGTTAACAGTAATAGCTAGGTTGGCTTCACAATCAATAATTTTGGCACCAGCAGTTGGGAAATCAAAAGTGTAATTGCATTAGGTAAATCAGCTGTCAGGGACCTTTCTAAAGTACTTAGAAGCAATGATGTCAGTCTATAGACTAAGGTGTGCCTGATCAAGTCCATGGTTTTCACAATTATTTGTCATGCATCAGAAAGCTGGATACTGACTAAGGATGATAGAAAAATTGCCTTTGAGTTGTGGTATTGGAGAAGAGTCTTGAACATACCATGGACCACCAAGAAAACAAATCAGTCTGTCTTGGAGAGTGTGAAACCAAGTTTCTCCAAAGAGGTAAATATTTTGAAGCTCCAAATCACATACTTTGGGTATGTGGTCGGGAGAGACCAATTATTGGAGAAGGGCATCATGTTTGGAAGGGTGGAAGGACAGCACAGGAGAGGAAGACCCCAGATAAGATGGATTGATACGTAACTAGGCAATGGGGTTAAATGTAACAGGGTCACTGAGTCTGGCTCAGGACAGAGAAGGTTTCATAGCTATTGCACATAAAGTCACTGTGAGTCAGAGGTGACTTGGTGACATAAAACAACAACAACAACAGAATTCTACTGGACTTTAACTCAAAGGGCATCAAAGAATTCTTTCCTTGGTTTATAGATAACCTGACTTTCTGGCCCTTTTTGCATCACAGAATTTAAACAGTGCATCGTACATCCTTTCTTTGTGTAGCTGATCCTTCATGAAGACAGTGATTTTCCGCAGACATCACAGGTTTGATTCCTGCCTCTCCGCAGGATAGAGGAGCAATCTCCTTTATGTCACCTCTATTTAATCTTCTACCATTTGTCTCCCTCATGTGGGTAGAGTCTTAAGTTTCTTAACTCGTTTTTGTAAACATCCCATGCCAAACAAGATGCCAGTCATATAGAATGCAATTCCCTGCCCACCCCCACCTGGCGATTAATGCAATTTACTGTCACCAGTGTTGCCAGATCAACGGACCTTAGAGTTACACATCTTGTTGGACTCTTCATTTGCTCAGTTAAAGAACTCTGGTGATATGGTGTGTTGCGTGGTGTGCTGCTAACCTAAAGTTGGTGGTTTGATTCCAGCAGTCCTTTCATGAGAGAAAGATGGTCCCTTACGTTCCATAAAGATTTCCAACCTTGAACACTCAATAGAGAATCAAGTCTATGGCAGTGAGTTTGGGCTTTTTTGGTACAGCGAGTTATAAGGTGAAGGGATTTTTCCTTCCTACAAAAATCCTCAAGTCTGGAACAATAAGCAACATCTTGAAAAACGGAGAAAAGCTTGGAATTGTCAACAATTTCATCTTACTTGGTTCCACAATGAACACTGGGACTAGCAGTCAGGATATCAGAAGATGTACAACATTTGGCAAGTCCACTGCTAAGGACCTCCACAAATGACTGAGGAACCATGAGGCTCATCTGAAGACTAAGGTGTGCCTGGTTCAGGCCATAGTGGTTTCCACAACTTGCTATGCATCTGAGAGCTGGACAATGAATAAATGTGACAGAAGAAGAACTGATGCTTGTGAGCTCTGGTGTTGAAAAGGAGTACTAAGTAGTCCATGGATTGCAAAAAGAACAAACAGATATGTCTTAGGAAAAAGTACAGCCAGAATGCTTGGTGAAGGCAAAGAGGAAAGCTTTGTTTCACACACTTTGGGTGTGTTGCTAGGAGAGGCCATTCCTTAGAGAAGACGATCATGCTTGGAAAGATCGTGAAAGAGAGGAAATCTCTCAACAAAGATGTATTGGCGTGGTGACTGCAAGTTATGGGCGCCAGTGTGTCAGAGGTGATGAGGATGGCACAGGGTAGGATACAGTTTGTTCATAAGGTTGCTGTAAATTGTACTTGACTCGATGGCACATAATAACAACAACAATGGCTTTTGTATTTTTGTGTCAATTCACAAGATTATTTTAGTCCATGTCTTACTTCTTTATATTGAGATATTAACAAACTTACCTGCTTTCCAATAGAAAAGCAATTATAAAAATATCACTAGAATATGAATTTTGATGGTAAAATAGAATAATGTTTTGTTTTCAATAGCATTATATATACAATACCATTATATATGCTATCTATCTATCTATCTATCTATCTATCTATCTATCTATCATCTAATTATCTATCTATCTATAATCTATCTATCTATCATCTATCTATCTTCTATAAATAATGCTATTGTTATCATTGGCTGAGTATACTGTGGAAAGAAGCTGTGCTGAAATACTGAAGGCATGCAGTTCTAGGCCACTAGATGCTCC